TATCTTGTGTTAGAGCAATACTCTCAGTTTCATGCATAGGTGATAGGATAGGATCAAAAAATTCAGTAGGCTCATTAGGTGGTTGGCTAGTTTGTGATGGGCTAGCATCAACATTTAGTGCATTAGAGTCAGATTTGTTGGCTCTATGGTGTAGTGAACCTCTCAATTCACTACCATCATCATTTGCAAGCTTTGCTCTATCATCAATAGCAATTTTTACCTTTTTAGCACTCAAAAGTCTTTGATTTCTCTGTCTATATTCATATAGCTCATCATTATCACTATTCAAAGTATCTCTAGCTTAGCTATTAATTGATTCCGTAGAATTTTCTCTTTCATAATCATCCCCTATATTTACATTGCTCTCTACGTCAACATTTTCAATCACATTTACATTTAAATTAACCTTGATCTCTGCATTGTCTTCATGATAAACACATTATTCAAGAATTGTTTCATGTACATTAGCCTTGCTGTTAACATTAACTTGACTTCTAAATTCATCAAATAAGCCCAACTCATCAAAATTATCATCTTCCAAGTCCTCAGTTAGGTCAATCTTATATGTTTCATCGTCTACCTCATCATCACTTTCACTATATGATTCATTTGCATTTGGAACTAGTTTAATATAGTAATTCAAGAGACTGAATTCTTGTTTGGCAATTGGATGACAAGACATATGTCGAATTGGGTTAACATGTGGTGCATTAGGAGATTGAGTTGTTGTTTGTCAATTGGATGTGGTAGATATATTTCTTTTAGGTGTCAATCTTTCTTCAACACGACTTTCTTATACTTCGTAGAAGTTCTATGGATGATATTTCTATTTTCTGAATATGGTGGTTCACTAATAGCCTCTGATAGAATGTCCACCTCTAATAGTGTTGAAAGATGGTGACTAGTAAAAATCTATATTACTCTATGTTTCTAAGCTTCCTTAAGCATCATTGCCAATTCACTATGTGAATTCAATTTTCTTAACCCACATATACTTGGTAAAGCATAATACAAGAATAACACGTTGTGATATCCATAAATTTTCATACAATTCATGAGAAAAGGATTAGAGAATGTATGCTCTTCTATGAACTCTACATCAAAATTTCCTTCAAAATATTAAACTAAACCCGCAAATCTAAATACTAATTGACCACCATGTCTAAATATTACCATAATAGACACATTCATCTGCATAAAATAAACAAAAAATTTCAACTTATCACCCAACTAAACCAACATTAAACTCAACATACGGTTAGACTTAATTCAGAAAATCCCCTACATTTACACTATAATTCAGTAACACTAACAACTTATACAAATTTACCCTAATTTTCACAATAATGCTCTCAATAAAAACCCCTACCTTTAATTAATTGTGTTCAAAATCCATAAGCCTTATAGAAAACCTAATAAAACCCTAAAAAGGAATTTTGAACTTAACTTTGAGGACCACAAGAAGATGCCAATCTTCAATCCTCAAATTTTCCCCTTGCAAATCTTTGTCACCACCTACTCCTCTAGAGCATGACTGATCTCTGCCACCACCCATGAGATTCCTTGCTCTTCTTTAGTCCCTCCCTCTCTCTTTTTGTTTCCCTCTTTGTTTTTTTTAGAATTTAATTTGAGAGTGAAGGTGAAGCTTTGCTTTCAATTTCTCCCTTTAACGATAGTTATTGTCCCGTCTAACCCCTTCTATGTAATCAAAACATTGCCACATCAGCATCCCATTTATTTTAAATCTAACCACATGCAATCACGTGAGATCATTGCCAGAATCAGGTCACCAGAATAAGGTTAAATGGCTAAGTGAGTCATTTTATAGACCTTATTATTGCCTGAGTCACTTTTTAGGCATTATTGGTTGACTTTATAGAATAAATTGGTATTTTAGCCATATAAAAAATGACACTCGTTTACCACTTCAGCCTAAAAAGGACACCAATGATACTTTAACCTAAAAAGTGACAAGTCGGTGACATATATGCCTTTCCAATCAACAAAGATAATTTTAAAGTGAAATATTAAAGAGAATTTACGTTTAGACCCCTAAGTCTCTCATATTTTTTGAATTAACCCCTCTCTCTACCCCTAGATTGTGATATTTATAATTAAAAAAACATTCCCAATATCTCCTCTCTCGTCTTTCCCACCATCTCCTCCATTTTCTTCTTCTCCATATGTAATGCTACTTTTTTCACACATGACTGCAGTCCAAGGTGAACTCAAAGATGTCAAACCTGTCATGCACCTAACACTGTGCATAAACATGTTTTACTATCACCATTGATATCACTCTAGCAGATGTCAAATGCAAAGAAGTGAGGGTACAAGCAGATATAACAAAGATGAGATGATAAGGAACACAATGTAAAGAAGTGACATCCAACAGTATCTAAATTTATGTCCTAACAGAAGAAAAGAAAATACATCTGATAAATTAAGGTAAGAACAATAAGTCTCAGAAAAATAAGAGTCAACTGAGGTGTACAAAAGGCACTTAGCCTCCCAAAATGAATTACATCTCTAAAAGTCTAAAACAATAAATAATCCACGACAGAGCACTAACTAACTACCTATGAATGACGATAGACTATACTGAATCTCCGTCAACCTGCGGTTCTGCGTATGCCTGACCCACTACCTAAAAGGATGGTATCAAGGAGCGTCAAAGTGCTTGCAAAAACTTCTCTACCGCCCCCAGGAGAAGGAGGTAAAACACATAAAATGCTATAAATAACTTGCATGCATATGTATACACATATATAAGTATCAAATAGCTAGTACCAAGAGGAGTTAAGACTTAGGAACCCACAACACGAGATAAGTACATCAAGAAAATAATCCAAACAAGGAAACCTATATATATATACCATGTATCTCAAATTGTGAGTCATTAAATAACAACTCCAAATCCTAAGAACAAGTAACACAGAAATGCATCATCAATATCTCATCAAGGACATGTCATGCATGTCAATTACAGTATGCCACCCTACCCTCGGTAGGTAGCATGAAAAAAAATATACGATCCTCCAAAATCCTCATCAAAAGTATGTACCGTTACATATGAATGTCACAATGTTGGACTACATCCACAAACAATACTCGCTTGAGCCCTAGGCATCCCAAAGACGTAGAGTATAGCCGTCCACAGTATCATGTGACTCACGGACTAACGCACTCGGAGTGCTGTCGCCCGCAATATCATACGATGCACCGACAAGCACACACAACCCTCTAAACAAAGATGCACCATAGAGTGTAGCCGCCCGAAATCTCTTACAATACACAGACTAGCATACTTAGAGTGTAGTCGTCACGTTCTCATGCGGTGCACGGACTAATGTGCTCTATCATCTAAAATCATTGTAAACTGAAACAATCGTCACTCCCTATTGTGACAAACATAAAACATTAGACTACACACTCTCAAAGGCCCATGTGTGCTCAAACCCAATACGTGCACTCCCTTGGTCATGTACGTGTATCGATGTGCGGCTCGTACTTCGTTTTTATGACTAAACGTGTGTGGAAGATCAACATATGCATAACAACACTAGATAAGTCGACTGCCCTTAGGGATCAGTCAACTAACATTAGATCGGTTGACTGATATCCCATTAGTTAACAGGGCGGCGACATATACAAACATGCACAAACAGCAAGTCTCGATCGGTCGACCAGCACATACGTCAGTCGACCACCCAGAGAGCAAACCCCAGTTCCTGAAGATCGATCGATCAATCGATACATGTATTAATCGACTGACCAGAGAGAAAACTCTAGTTTCCTAATGACTAATTGGTCAACTGATCCTTCTGATCAGTTGACTGACCCGATAGCAAATCAAAAATAGACAAGCTTTGCAAAAATTCATAAAAAGTCAAAATCTTTCAAAAGTAACTTATGTTTTAGTTCTTAATTAAGGTATTTAGTGTTTACACTGATATATAAAACCACAAATATCAACTTGAGGGGATCTAATAACCCTAAACATGATTATGGTTATAAATTCATCCTGAAATAATTAAATTAGCAATAAATCTCATATTAGATTTATTTAAAATCTTAAACCCTAATTAATGAATTCATTTTAACTCTTAAATAGAAATTAGATCTTTGTGCATCATCAAGTTTTAAGGGG